TCTCCCTGTGTTGGCGTAGATTTCCTCCGGGTGCTTCGGTTTCCCCCAACAAGTCCAAAGACATGTGGTATAAGTGAATTGGGTAAGCCAAATTGTCCTTAGTGTATGTGTGTGAATGAGTGTGTATGGATGTTTCCCAGTGATGGGTTGCAGCTTGAAGGGTATCCGACGCTTAAAACATATGATAAGTTAGCGGTTCATTCGGCTGTGGCGACCCTAGATTAATAAAGGGACTAAGTCAAAAAGAAAATGAATGAATATTTTTTTACTTTTTTAAATACTTTCCAAATTATGTTTAACAGAACAGGTTTTTCACAGTAATTCCTATAATAGTTTTTTATTTCAGCTTTTTGTAACTCAGCCTTAACTAGAAGCAACAGACCATAACTTGCAGAGGAGGAAAAGTTTCAATGTTTTATATTAGAGGAAGTGGGGACCTTTGAATAAGTTTTTTTTTTTTTTTTTTTTTACAGAAACAGATGGCATTTAAATGTTCGCTAATAAAATTTTGGGTTGTTTTAATCCAATGCTGGGTCAAATATAGACAAATCCAACCATGGGATAAAAACTGTATAGTAAATTTAATTGAAAAAAATTAACCAGGTTTTCCAGTGATGGGTTGCAGCTGGAAGAGCATCCGCTGGGTAAAAACATATGTTGGATAAGTCGGCGGTTCATTCCGCTGTGGCGACCCATGATTGAAAAAATGGACTAAGCCGAAGGAAAATGAATGAATGAATAGAATAAAATCATTTTTTATTTTTTTAAAAACTATTTTAAGGTCGGTATTATTAGCCCCCTAAAACAATATATTTTTTTCGATATTCTACAGAACAAACCATCGTTATACAATAACTTGTCTAGTTACCCTAACCTACCTAATAAATCTAATATTAATCTGTATAGTATCTTGAAAAATATCTAGTAAAATATTATGTACTGTCATTATGGCAAAAAAAATCAGTTATTAGAAATTGGTTATTAAAAGTATTATGTTAAGAAATGTGTTGAAAAAATATTCTTTCCATTACACAGAAATTAGAGAAAAAAATTATAGGGGGCGAATAATTTAGGAGGGCTAATAATTATTCAACTTCAACTGTATGTGATTGTCATTACTCAAGATAGTCACAATCTTTCAGAAATCTTTCTATTATAATGATATAATTTGCTGCTAAAGAAATATTTCTTATTATCATATTTGTTGAAAACAGTTGTGCTGCTCCATATTTTTGTGGACACCATAATATGGTGTTTTATATGCATACATAGAGATAAATTATTAGCCCTTCAGCAGTGAAATCTTTATTCTTTTATTATTCCTTAAATATTTTTAAATATATGACTAATTTATTTAGTCTTTGCCATAATGAGAGTACATGATGGTTTTTCCTTCCTTATTAAAAGTTACTAGTATTTGGGTAACTATGTTATTTTGTTAACTTGGCAAGTTGGGATAATTAGGCAAGCTGTTAAATAATTATAAAATAGTTTTTTACAAATAAATACATTAAATAAAACCTTCCCCCCAAAAAAAAAAAAATATTTTATGAAATACTGTGAAATTGACTTTGGTCTGTCAAACATAAATTGTGAAATATTTTAATATATTAATTTTATCTTCAACTTTATGGACACGATGGCTCAGTCGCCTCACAGGAAGAAGGTTGCTGGTTTGAGTACCGCCTGGTTCAGTTGGCATTTCTGTGCGGAGTTTGCATGTTCTCCCAGTGTTGGCGTGGGTTTCCTCCAGGGTGCTCCAGTTTCCCCCACAGTCCAAAGACATGCGGTACAGGTGAATTGAATAAACTAAATTGGCTGAGGTGTATGAGTGTGTGTGTAAACGAGTATGTATGTATGTTTCCCAGTACTGGGTTGCAGCTGGAAGGTGATTTGCTGTGTAAAACATATGCCGGAATAGTTGGTGGTTCATTCCACTGTGGCGGCTCAGAAATAGAGACTAAGCCGAAGAAAAATTAATGAATGAATGTATGTGGGTTTTTTATTATTAAGGGAAAACTAAATATAGCTTTTTAAAAAAAAAAATCTGATCACAGTAAAGCAACAAATCATAATTTTAGAATATTTCTAAATAAGCATTACCATACATTACATTAAAAGATTAACATACAAAACAATTAACAATTTTACTAATTCATTATTTTTAACTTTACATAAAATGTCACAATATTAAAATATGTATACTTTTTTTGTAAAGATGTTTGCCATGACTCACAGTTTGGGACATGAGTACATGTGCGTCATGCCATTGTCTTCTAAGAATATCCACAACTCTATTAGCCAGCAGGCTTCAATGTACATCAAGTAATGAGTTAGCTATATAGAAGAGGAGCAGAAAAAGTAAGAGCGGTTGTACATTTAAAAAAAATAAAATAAATAAATAAAATAATTATATATATATATATATATATATATATATATATATATATATATATATATATATATATATATATATATATATATATTATTAGTAGTTGTATAATAGTATATCTAATAATATTTTATCAAAAATATTTTTGTAAACAAAGATATACACAAAGGTGTTTATAATATTATAACATTTTATTTAAATTAATCCATGTAATCATACAGTTGAGAATCATAAAGTCAGAATTATTAGCCCTCCCTGTTTATTTTTTTTTTTTTACCCAATTTGCATTTAATGGAGAGATTTTTTCAACATATTTCTAAACATAATAGTTTTAATAACTCATTGTCATGATGACAGTAAATAATTTTCGACTAGATATTTTTCAAGACACTTCATTACAGCTTAAAGTGACATTTAAAGGCTTAACTAGGCAGGTTAGTGTAATTAGGCAAGTTATTGTATAATGATGGTTTGTTCTGTAGACTATCGGAAAAAAACAGCTTAAAGGGGCTAATAATTTTGACCTTAAAATGGATTTGAAAAAAATTAAAAGTTGCTTTTATTCTAGCCAAAATAAAACAAATCAGGGGGGTTAATAATTCTGACTTCAACTGTATCCTCACCCAGAGATGGAAATATTCAAAGAAAAACAACAATTAATTAGTTCAATTGAATTAATGTGTGTGCTGCTGATCATACTGAGAAGTATTTAGTAAGCAGCAAACAGTGTAATATTTTGACAAAATGAAATTAATAGAAAATTGATATATGTTTTGGCCATCTTTTGTACTCTAAAAATCCTGGTCTGAGCAATTAGTACATTTCAAAACATGACAATATTGATCACTTTAACACCAATGATCAGCAAAGCATGATTGTTTCATTCAGTTTAGTGGCATTTAGGTTTTTTTAGCCTTCAAAATCAGTATTGTAACATCTGAATTCTTTTTCAGAGTGCAATTTTACAGTCATTCTGACGCTGTGCTGTGACCTCTCTGTGTAAGTATATGTATAGTAAAATGCAGGTCATTATACCCTACCAGTCACTGTTGTTGCCACCTACATGCTAATTCCATGACCCACGATCACAATAAATGATTGTGAAGTCCCAAAATATAAAAACAGACAACTAAATGATTATTTACTAACCTTTTTGATGCTGCTACCATCTTCTCTAGGTGCAAACACCCAGTAAACGGGTCTGGCCATGTGTCAGGTTGCGTTAGGCATGTGATAACCTTACTGCACTTATTTATTTCAGAATTGCACAAACCGCTTGTTAACGTTAGTTGCCTTTTTAGAGCATTATGATTAACCCTTTACCGACACTTTTGTGACAATGGGATTAAATGTGTGAATACAGTTTTCTTTGAATGACAAAGCTGAATTTTCAGCGAATGTCGTCATCGCCATTAGTGCGCGCGCAGCCCGGTATTTCTTCTATTGTGTTTATCGCACAATCTACAAAAGATGCGCCGTTCGCGCATGCGCTTTGAATCTTTTTTTTTTACAACAGTGAGTTAGTCCACGAGGTGGCAACACTGGTCCCTGACTCCCGGCCGTTACTTCACAGATGGCAGAGAAACGGAGACAGAACAAGAACAACAAAAGCGCCAGAGACTTCAGCAACAATAGACGCCCGCGTTGAGGAGAGCTTTTGTAGCAGATTCACGATATTCTAGGTTAAACGAGAACAAAGACATCTTTGCCATACATAACTTTTGAAGACAAATATTGCAGACAGTGATCAAGGATAACTCTTACTTGTGCGCATGTGTTGAGCGAAAGTGGTCTCGTACGCTGAAATTGACTACTGGACTTTGAAAGGATGTGCGTTCGACGGTAAAACCCCAAGTAAGATTTCACCTCATTATCCTTAAGAAATCTTTTTAAAAGGCTAGATTTGTCCTTAGAATATGTTTTTGATCAACAATCTTTGAAGAACAGTTTTTGGTGATGTGAATCTTTTATAACATTATTATTTCAGTTCAGTTTAAACCCTTAAATATTTGCAGGAGGATGTCGATTGTTGTATCGTAATTTGGTTGGAACTTTTGTGTAATTCTGGTTGTTTTAGTGTAGTTTTGCTCTCTTTGTCGCTACTATTCAGATAATAAATTAACGGTCCAGACTGTCCTGTTCAGGCCATTGTATTGTGAGCGTGCAAGGTGCCCCAGCATCCTTTGTCACAGTGTATGAGCAGTGTTTGAACCGTTGATTCTTCTCTGACAATGAAAGAAATTAAAAAGTAAAACACAATACAATAGCTAATTTAAGTAATATTCATAGTGTTGATCATTCAACAGTTAGTTTCAAAATTGTGTATTTGCAACAAGTTTTTGTTATTGTATTGTAGCCAGTTACTGGTAAGCCCATAATCTGATTGAATGTAATGGCGAAACAGCCTACAGACCATATTGTTGAAAATTGTGTTATTGGTGTAATGAATATATTGGTGTATAAAAAGGGTTGCTACATTTGTAGCTGTATAAAATAGTGGCATAATGTTTTCCTTTAAAAAAAAGTATATGTTGTTAAATAAAAATACAAAACAATTATTTGTCCAGCTGTTCATTGTCTGTTATCTCTCTCTTTCTCTTTCATTCAGGAGTACATTGTGTCGCTAATTAGTCCTGTGCATAAGCACCGTGAGCGGTTGACTCTGTGGCTGCAGCGGCGACTGCATGCCCTACGTGCAGCAATTGAGTACGAAAGCTGCGCCGTGGTGCAGGTGAGGGACCATGCACTGGAGCTTCAGGGAGGTCATGCACAGGTAACAGCTGCATGCGCTATGCTGCAGCGCCTGAAGATGGAGCACCGCGGCTGCCGCGACCCCCAGCCCTCACCCGCAGCCGCCGGTCACGAGTCTCCAGAAGAAGAGGAGGAGGAAGAGGATGAAGAAGCTGGCGAAGAAGGAAGTAGTTCAGAGAGCGAAGGAGAGGTGCGGCCGCGCAGTGGAAGTTCTGGAGGTGTCAGTTCAGCGGGGTCAGGAGACTGTCCAGTAGGAAGGAGACGGGACCTGCTCATAGCAGCCAAACCTCACCGGCAGCTGTGCCGCTCGTCCTGTTTGGACCGTCCCAGCTTCAGCCAGAGCAGCACCTTACAAGAGTTACGAGCAGATGACACCTGCACCGACCCGTCCCAGAAAGCCCTTGCTCCTCCCTCCTCCGCATCCCCAATGTCCTTACGTCAAACCAGCGATCGAGATTATCAAACCAAAATGGACTTTGCTTTGAAGCTGGGCTACTCTGGAGAACAGGTGGAGTCTGTGCTGAGTAAACTGGGGGCCAATGCGCTAATCAATGATGTATTGGCTGAGCTGGTGCGGTTAGGAAATAAAGGAGATCCAGAGAGTCAGACAGCAGCGGGTAGTGCCAGTTTTGCACCACGGACAGTGGGAGCCAAAGAAGCCGTAAGCCCAGAGGCATCGCTGGAGGAAGACTCATCAGACACGTATGACAACCTCCGACCAATCGTGATTGACGGATCCAATGTTGCCATGAGGTAAATGCCTATAAGAATCACACACTTTCCTCATATATTATTAAAAAAACATACACTTTCTGTGATTGCCGACAAGGCCTACACATGCATGCTCAAATCCTCTGCTCTGTGTTTAGCCCAATAATCCAGTTTAACTTCATGAACTGCTGGCAAACCATTTCACTCCTTAATATGGCATATTTACAGATAAAATGTTTGATAAAAGTAATTGTGTCAGAAAAAGTCAAAAAGTCTTTTTTTGAAAAGCAGAACAAGCTATAATGAAATGCATTTATTATGTAGTATGTAAATGTAAATCATTATCAAGACATTTAAAACCTGTTCTGTTTAAAAAGCGCACACAAGGACCAAGAATGCTCTTCTTGAAAATAAATGGATTATTTTTTTAGATATTATAATAACTTGAATGACAAATAAATAAAAGTTTGCTTAAGCACACATTTAAATGACAAATACAATTAATGGTCTAACAGATACTAATCTAATACTAAGTCGCTAAAAATAGTCTATTGGTAAGTACCAAACATATTGTGCACTCCTGGTCCTAATTTCATGTTTACTTTGTCTACTCAAAAATGAATTCGCTCTCATGGTGTTAAAGAAAACATCAATTTGTTTTGGAACACAAAATATATTTTGATGAATGTTTGTAGCCATTGAACTAAATTCCATTTCATCAGAATATATATATATATATATATATATATATATATATATATATATATATATATATATTGTGTATATATATATATATATATACACAAACGAGTAACAGTGCGATATGGCTGTATATCTGAGACATTCCTCGACCTGAAAAAGCCAAAGCAGTGCAATCACTACCAGATTATCGTTGTGTTTGCGATAAGGAAAAACGCTGAACACATGCGGGCATTTCTTCTTTCTTTTTACTGAACTAGTCTGCAGTAACAAAAACAGCATTAGAAACAACCAGATGGCCAACTAAAAAGTAACTCGGTTGTACAAAGAGTGGCCAACACAAAGTACATAAATTTCTTATATGTGAGTCCCATCTCACACTCGATACAGTACTATTACTATGGTATAAATACAGCACTACAACATACAAAAAGTGAGAGATTGACTTGTTTAATAATGATGTGATCAGCTGTTGTTAGAATTTACACAGTTTTTCTCCTTTAAGAGCTTATAATGCGTTCTCTGTTACCATTTTGTGGATGGACAACATCAACCATCTTTGCTCTGCTCCGCTTTTAATTGATAAAGATTTAAAATAGGCACTATCCTAATAAATAAACTGCACAGTTACGATCTAAACAACTTCATTCTCACCTAAAAAAAAGCCTCAAGAGTACATTATGTTGTCCAACAGTTGCAATATTTCCATACTTTAGTGAGTTTATTGATCTGCTGTCACTCTATGTGGGTGGAGTAATACAGAAGTTTGAGGAGGCTGTACGAGTTCTAATATGTGTGTGTGGTATGTAAAGGTTTGGAACGAGAGTTAGTAAATGGCAGAATTATTGCCTAGACTATCCCTTTAAGGCTCGGATAACATGTGGATGAGAGAATTGGTCACAACCTGGGGAACTGTGAACTAGAGAGTCATTAAATTCTCACTATTGTTGTTTACTTCTGAAATTTATGCTGTTACAGGAAGTCATTTAGTGGAATAAACGTGATGTTCCTGTTTTGAAATGCTCTCAGTATTGAGAAATGTCCAATCAGTAAGAGATTTGAGAGTTTGTCAGTGTGTGTGTGTAATTTGATGTTGGTAATATTATTTTGTAGCCATGGAAACAAAGAGGTGTTCTCATGCCTGGGCATTCAGCTGGCTGTTGATTGGTTTCTGGAGAAGGGCCACAAAGACATCACAGTTTTCGTCCCAGCATGGAGGAAAGAACAGTCAAGACCTGATGCACCAATCAAAGGTACCACAAAAGTGGATATTAATATACAAAATAATATAAGTACTTGCAGAAAATGAGGGTGATGCATGAGGTAAAGCTTCCTGTATGTGAAAATGTACAACTGTGGGTTTGCAAAATACCAAAAGCCAGAGACTGCCAGTACCAATTTAAATGCCTCTGCTTCATTTTCTTCCAACTGTTTGAATAAAAAATGTAAATAAATGAGATTCACGGGTTTGATATAAAGCAAGCCTGATGAGCATGTTCTCAGGCTTGATTTGAGAAGTATCTACAGAACATTTTGAACATTAAAACAGACAAAACTGAGCCATTTCGCAGTTTCACGAACAGTCCCACAGATTTAAGTATTTGTTAAATGATAAAACTCGGTGCATGTTTTGTTACATGATTCCTCTTTTGGTTAAACATATTTTATTGAATTGTCTTGCTTTAATGTTTGTAGAAGGCTTTTTTACAACATGAGCTCAATTAAAAAATTGCTTAGTCAAATTTATCCCTGAATTTATCTTATATTAATGTAAAATGTCTAATTTAATACAACTTGTGTTTGTTTGTCTGTTTGAATTGTATTATTATTTTTTATTTATTGTTTATATATTCGTTTTTTTGTCGTGAAAACTGACATAAATCTGACATGGCACTCCTGGAGGGCCGCAGCTCTGCACAGTTTAGCTTTAACCCTAATTAAACGAGCGGGGTCTGGCTGCAGACTTGGTGCAGATGCAATCTGAGCTGCATCCAGTGCTTTTAATGTGCTCACCTAACCTAACCCCACAACTAACCATACACCTCACAGCGACGTCACTAGCTCCATTAAGTGCATTGTGTCTGACATCACTGCTTGCATCATAAAGGCTGCATCCAGATACTATTGAATTAAACACACATTATCAAACTAATTGAGGCCTTTAGACTTGTTTGAAACCTACAGTTCAGTGTGTTGAAGCTGGGTTGGAACTAAACTGTGCAGAACTGCTGCCCTCCAGGAACTGGATTTGACACATGTGCACTAAGTAAAAGATTCGAAAGATGACCTAGAAATATTCTTAAGGGATACTTCACCCAAATTTGAAATTTTGTCATCATTTACTCTCACCATTCACTAGTTCCAAATCTGAGTTTCTTTCTTCTGTTGAACACAAAGGAAGATATTTTAAAGCAAGCTGAAGACCATTGAGTTCTATAATATATGTTTTTCTACTGTGGATGTCGGCGAGTACAGGCTTTCACCTTTCTTCAAAATGTCTTTCTCTGTGTTCAACAGAATAATGAAAATCCTAAATGTGTGAAAGCACTCAAGGGTGAGTAAATTAGTGAATAGTAAATATAATTTTTTGGTTGAACTGTGCCTTTAATCGATAATTTCATGCCTTTATTTAAAGTAGGGTTGTCACAATACTGGAATTCAATACTAATTGGTACTGAAATTTTAAAAACGCTAACATTTGAGCGCTGTTGAGTGCGTTCTTAATATATTATGAGGTCGCATAGATTAAATTTCGTGGCGCATATGCGACCAAAACAGTCACAATTTTGAGCCCTGGACTGTGATTGGCCGTGAAGGTCATCAGTTCACCGAAGTCATTGCTGTTTAATGAGTTTAATCACAGATACAGGGACAATGAAGCATTTCAAAGTCATGTTGATCAGCTGGTTTGTTTCTAAGTTGACATATGATCGATCCGCTGATAAATCATTGCTTTAAAATTCTCCAGTGTCCCTGTATTGGTGGTTACACTCAGGGTGCTTTCACACTTTTTTCATTTGCCTGGACCGTACCCAAGTTCGATCCCCCCGCCCGCCACCTTCTAGGTTGGTTTGTGTTCACACTTTTGGTTTTGAACATACAGAGGGCGACTTGATGCAAAAATATTATAAATGTTCAGAACGTTTGTTTAGAGCAATGTCTGCAGAAGCTGTTTTTGGTGGACAAGCAAAAATTATCACTGTACTTGCCATGGCTCAGTCCCGCTTTTCACCAAGGTACAATACTTCCACTATTTGGTACGATTGCCTTCATATCAGAAGTGGTCTAGACCCCAGACCACCTCTTTCAGGTGGACTAGGGTTTGGTTTGTGGGTGCGCACTGAGGTCAGAAGACCCGTTTACACTAGCTAAACATACCATACTCTGACGTCAATGAACCCGGGTGTGGACGAAAAGTGCTAGTGTGAAAGCACCCTCGATAAACAGTGTTGAGTGTGGTGAGCTGATGACCTTCACGGCCAATCACAGTCATTTCTGTATAGCATGTGAATACTATGGCAAATCAGTGCTGTAAATGTGTTAAACACCGCACAAATGTGAGTGGAAAATAGATGTTTTTAAAATTTCAGTACCGATTGGTAACGAATTCCAGTATTGTGACAACTCTAGTATAAAAAAGTATTACAAAAGTATGTTTTCAAGTGACATTTAAAATTCTATAACATTCCTGATTCAGACACTTTTTCGAGTGTTGTCAGATGAAGTGATCCTTTGCAGTATAAACCCTTTTTTTGCCTGAATGAGTGTCTCCAAGAGCTGCCATGTGTGCAGTGAGCTCGTCCATCTGTGCTGTGATGTTTACACAAGTTTGCGTATGTCTGTGCGTGAGGTCACAGGAAGTGATGATGTGTGATGTCACCTTCATCCTCAGATCAAGAGATCCTCCGAAAATTAGAGAAGGAAAAGATCCTCGTCTTCACACCGTCCCGCAGAGTTCAAGGCCGGCGAGTGGTTTGCTATGATGACCGTTTTATCGTCAAGCTAGCCTGTGACTCGGACGGGATCATTGTGTCTAATGACAACTACAGAGACCTGCAGAACGAGAAACCGGAGTGGAAGAAGTTTATTGAGGAGCGACTCCTCATGTACAGCTTCGTCAACGACAAGTATGTTCGCACACAGTTACCGTGGTGACAGGGTTTTCTCTCGCTCGCTCATTTGTGTCTTCTGCTTTCCACCCTCGCACCCTTATGGCGTTCCTCTATCTCTCTGGCTCTCTGTTTTTCTTGCACTTTTTATTGGACTGTCTCTTGTTTCAGCTCAAAAGTCTCTCTTGTGTTGTTTTGTGACTTATTTAAGTTTCATTTCAGTGTTGTGGATTAGACCAGTTGCAATTACATATTTAACCCACACATTACTACTCAATTTAAGTCATTTCAGTATAGAAATGCCCTTTTGTCACTCTTTCTGATGCATTAGTGCAGTACAATGCTATTTGTTGTGCACATGCACTAACTATGGAGGTTCAGACCATACACATGCAAAACTATTAATGCTTTAACATAAATTGTGAATAGAGAGCGTTACATTTTCACTTTTTTAACATGGTCGCTGATAATGCTATTCAAAAAGAATATTTATAAGATCTCATATTTAAAAAAAATACAGTATTGATCCATTTAACAGTTTTTATATTTAAATAGTTATTCATAACAAACAGTTGTTCTCATTTTTATCTGTTGGGTTGTTTTGTAGGTTTATGCCTCCTGACGATCCTTTGGGCAGACATGGACCCAGTCTGGAAAACTTTCTCCGCAAACGTCCAGTGGTTCCAGAACACAAGAAGCAGCCGTGTCCTTATGGTCAGTACAGCAAAAGTAGGGAATTATTTTATGTCTTTATTTCAGAACATCACAGAATATTACAAATATTTATATATGCTGTATTAACAATGCAATATGAAATTGTGAATATATGAAGAGATGCAAAAACCTGTGAATACTGTTTGATTTTTGTTAATTAGCATTTTTTTGTGTGTAGGCTCAATAATTTTACGTTTATAGAGACTAATAAGTTGTTTTCATTGCCTTTAAAATGAAATAACTAAGAATAAACATAGGAGCCTGAGGAAAAATACTAATTTTAGGAGACAATTTCAGATGGCATGCAGAGGTTTTTCATCTGAACTCTTCATATATCAAATATAAAATCGTACCATAAATTTTTCATGCACTGTTAAGCTATGTGTTTTTTATGTATATTATAATATTTAAAGAATTATATCTACTGCCTTAAAAAAAAAAAAAAAAAGAAGTAACATTTTCTCAACTACCAATATTGATTTTATCACAGGTAAGAAGTGCACGTATGGCCATAAGTGCAAGTACTACCACCCAGAAAGAGCCAACCAACCACAACGGGCTGTTGCAGATGAGCTTAGAGCTTTTGCTAAACTCTCTGCTGTAAAAACCATGAGTGAGGGGGCACTTGCAAAATGTGGAACCTCTGGGGCTGCTAACAAGGGAGAAAGTGGCTCAGAGGCAAAGCGAGTGGCACCCAAGCGCCAGTCTGACCCCAGTATCCGGTCGGTTGCATGTGAGCAGGAAGAGAGACTCTGTCCAATGCGGAAGGCAGAGGCCAGTTCTGTACCGTCTTTAGTGTCCGCTCTTAGCGTCCCCACTATGCCACTAACAAAGAGTCATGCAGCTGGCGCTTTGAACACACGATCGGCTAGCAGCCCTGTTCCAGGGTCTCTGCACTTTACCCACAGCTCGCTGGAGCACGCGGGCAGTGTCCAGTATCCCCCAATCCTAGTCACCAATAGCCAGGGTGCATCTGTGGCATATGGTGAGCCGTTTCCCAAGTACGACTCAGTAGTGAGTGACCATGGCTACTACTCCATGCTCAGTGACTTCTCCACCATTAGCCTCCAAGACAGTTTCTGCAGTCTCGAGCAGCCAGAGCCTGTAGGAGTGGGTGGAGGATATTCTGGCAGAGCTCCCAGCATGTGCCCAGAACCCGGCCGAAGCCATTCATCTGACTCTTTTTCGTCCTACAGTGGAGAATTGTACCTCAACTCATTGGAGGGCAGTCTGGACGACAGCATGAAATCTGCGCCAACGCAACCTTCGGCACAAACACGCCTTCAAGCCTTTGCTCACGGTTTCCACCATGAGGCCTTGACACGTGTGCAGAGCTATGGTACGGATGAGCCCAAACCGGGACCTCGGAAGCAAACCTCCGCCCACCTCGCACCTCACACCCAACACCCGGTTGTTGGTGCTCGATCCAGCTGCCCAGGAGACTACCCTCCTCTCCCCCAGAACGTGTTGCCTTCTGTCAGCCCCTCACAGCCGGGCCGATCCTTAGGCATGACCCGCATGGACAGCATCTCTGATTCTCGGCTCTACGAGAGCAACCCTCTGCGCCAACGCCGACCGCCGCTTTGCCGAGAGCAGCATGCCAGCTGGGACCCTTTGCCATGTGGCAATGAACCCTACAGTTATGGAGGCTATGGATTAACCGGAGCCCTCATGCCTTGCTGTGAGAGGGTGATGGTCCGCAGCATGCCCGAGAAGATGGAGCAGATCTGGAGGTCCCCGTGGGATAGTGTGCCGCCTCCACCCCCTGCCACTCGTGGGCCAGCAGGGGATCACCAAGAGCGGCACCCTATTCCAGAACACCAATATCAAACCTACCGAAACCTCTGTAACATCTTCCCGGCATATGTGGTCCATTCGGTCATGGAGAAGAACCCTCACATGACCGATCCCCAGCAGCTGGCTGCCGTCATCGTCACTGAACTGCGCTCTTGCCACTAAGCACATCACAGAAGGCTGCTATCAGTTATATATTCATATATATATCCTAGTGAATGAGAGATTGAACGCCTGGAGCATTTCTGTTTTTGTCTAGCTTTAAAGATCATCCACCAGAAGTAATTATGACTGGATTGGATGCGTTGGTTAGGAAGTTGGCTAGCTTGATAGCATTGATGCTGCGTTGGTTATTAGTATTCAGTTAAGCCATATGGAAACATGGATCTTGTACCTGAAAAGTTTAGCATAGAAAAGTAAGAAAAAAAAACTAAAAAAACAAATAGTCTTCAAAGTCCTAATTCCTCCACTAGTCAGCTCCTGAGATGGGCCATATTGATCTAGATGCTTGGGTGGCCAGAATATTTCTCGTTCATATAGCCGACTCAGAAGTGTGTCCACACTGAGAGCGCAACTTCGCCTGCCAGTTCGATGGCAGATCTTCAGAATGTGTTATTTTGTGGGTAATGATAACATTTATCCTTTGAAAAAGAGTCACGTGACAGATCTCTTTGGTAAAACCGATCAGAAATGATCCTGCACAATATGAATAGTATTGTGTATGTATATGTGTATTCACTTGCATTCGCGTGTAAATACGACGTGAAGCTGTGGTGTATTTTTTATTTTTTTCAGTGTGCGTGATGATGAAGTGTGATTTTTGGAAACAGGAATGATCGATCGCTTGCGTACCTCAAAGCATGACTTCTAAGGCCTTACACTGGAGTGACCTCATCACACATTAATGTGAATAACGCTCGGCAGTTGTGGAGGTCGCATTTGTTTTATACGAGCGAGCGCTGGGATGGAGAGGTTTAGATTTTTTGGAAATGACTGGGGTGAAACTGCAAACCTGCCCTGCGTCGTTTTTGTCTCGGCTGTGCACAGATGTGTATTTATGAAGCCATTTTTAAAAGATTGAGCCAAAAAGATAATCAGTGTATGTTTTTCTGATCAGAAAGTACAAGGTATATCTAGTTGGAGAAGTTATCCATATGTATTTCCTAAATGTCGTTGTTGTATTGTAGATTTTAAGAGAGATGTTTGAGCATTTGGTAAGCATGGGCTTCAGTAAATCTCTCCCAGACAGCATGTTAGCACTATGCTTGACAGAGAGCGTCACTCGCGTTCAGCTCGTCAGTCAACTATTTTTCCAGTATTCACAAACTGGGGAGGTGGATGTGTCTCTTTGGCAAAATGCTCCTGTGCAGCATCTATTTCCTGATTGATGCCGAGAGACCAATGCCCCATTTCATCTGCTCCACCCTGTAAATGAACATATTTTCAGGAGAGTGTGAATGTTATCAGTCCAGAGATGCTCTGGGTGTTTTCGAAAAGACTTAAATTGCTCCTTCGTTTTTTTTCATGAGCACAGGTGTGGCCCCGTGGGGCCCCGTTAATGCTCGTGGGAAGGTGTGACACACTGCCTACCTGTCTTTTCCTGTGCGACACACACATGGAACACCAGGCTGTTGTTGGGTTGTTTCTGACATTTGGCTGACAGTTCGCTTGCTGCCTCTCTTCCGCCCCCGATTCTGCTTCAACTTGGACACAAAGCCCAACCTCCCAGCTCTCGAAAATGAAAACAGACTCACTTTTCTGAAGGCTATTAAAGATTTTTCCTTGATAGGTTTTTCTAAATCATATTTTTAGATATATTTATTTTTTGTTAGCATGTTTTAGGCCAGAAACATATTTATTGAGGCACATGCCAGACTCCGGTGTTATTTATTTTTATTTTAAAGTAGGAACTCCATTGCTAAAGCTGTGAAATCAAATGAAGAAGATAATAAAAAAAAATCTATTTCACACGTTTAAAGTAATTGTGCACATCAGAGTTTGCTTATAAAAACCAAACTACATTGTTGTTATTATTTTCAGTGGAACAATAGAGATTTTTAGCTGAACTTTGGTGATTTTTACAATGCAAGTGAAGAGCTACTTGCACTTATAGAGGCAAAACAAAAGTAAGACTGTAAGTAAAAAGCTGTAGATCAATGGTCTCAAACTCAATTCCTGGAGGGCCACAGCTCTGCACCATTAGCTCCCACCACCTCCATGTAGAGATGCAACATTATAGACTTTTTTTGTACGATAATAGTCTGACGAATAATCACGGTTTAGCAGTTATCATGATTGTTATGCATACAGATCACATGAATACTCTTCATATTTTAAAGTGTTATTTATTGCTGCTTAGTAACAACAATCAAAACAAACATTACTCCATTTCTCTAAAACTAAAAATAAGTGAAAATAGTTTTCGGCATTTAAACACGAGCAATAATTTTATACTGAAAATAAACGACAGAACAATGGATAAATTTGAAAGCGCCAGCGAGTCGCGCCCCTCATGTGCCCTGTTTGCATGTGTACGTTGCTCCCAATATGTGCATATAAGCCACATGCCTCATTTGGAAATAACAAACTTGCATGTGCAAAAGATACAATATGTGAACGGGCTTTGGTTAATAGCCTCAGCCAACGTTAATCCAGTGTGTATGTATATTACTCTCTGTGTACAAGCACGGAACTTTAAACTAGGGCACCATTGGCATAAATTTACTCAGTTGCAGCAGTTTTGTTCCATGCAGAAACAGTGTTGAGAAACCTTTATAATTAACTAACAATGACAAATTAAATTATGGTTAAAAGTTAAATTGGTTAATCCTTGCATCCCTACCTCCAACTCACACCTGCTTAATAGTCTCTAGTAGACTTGAACACCTTGATTAGTTGGATCAGCTGTGTTTGATTAGGGTTGGAACTGCAGCTCTCCAGGAATCAAGTTTGAGACTTATGCTGTAGATTATAAGTAAGAAAGAACATTGTTGTCTTGTACAGACCATCCTTTTCACTTTATAATATTGTTATAGAGCTACCAGTATTGATTTAGTTTTTCTTTGTATATATCTCTTTCCTCAATGGGATTATAACCAACGTTTCAGCTAAAGATCCTCATTAATGTTCATCTGAAGGAAAAAAGTCCTGAATGAGTAAATTGACAGCAGGTTTTTGTGTGAACGACCTCTATAAGAGACTTCAGTAACGAATACGGCACTGGCAAAACTTTATGTACTATGAGATGACTTTTAATATATAAATGTGTATTTGTGAGGTGAAATTCAGCTAGAATTAAGATCAGTTTGAAAGTTAATTAAAATGAAATGCTGCAGTTTCGATAGGAAGAAATTTGGATATTTAGTAGGACGCATGAATTTCCCGCTAGACTTTTATGCCTGTAATTTGGTGAACTTTTCACTATGACTATGTTTCAGGCCTAAACATGTCTTTTTTGACCTAGGTATTTTTACAATTGGGTCTTGCCCTTTTTGTCCCTCTGAACCTTGGAGCAAAAAAAAAAAAAGTAAAGAAAAATCTAGAAAAAAATGTTTCTTCTTCAGTCTCGAAGCTTCTTTTAGATTGTAAATGAATAGACTGCTATCTGCTGCTTACGCTCTGAGGTTCAGACCCCCGTGCCATTGAGCAGCAAGCTACCACACATCAAATGTCCAGAAACGACCTTTTGCTTGTTGATACAAATTGTATCTATTTCTTGATTGTAAAAAAAATATATATTTCTGAGCTGTACAGTATCACTTATATGAGTATATATATCTATATATATATTTAAAAGAAGCTTAGTTTTGTTTAAAAAAAAAAAAAAAAAGGATAAAGAAATATAATGCCATAATGTCAGTGATACCGTGTGTCACTCGAGTAGCCCATAGAGATGGCTTATTTCCTGCCGGGCAGACCACTACAGACAGGGATCTCTCTCTATCTCTTTCATTTCTTTCTCCATCATCTCACTCCTCTCTCACTTCTCCATTCCTCAAATGTGTGGTTCGATGATGATCTGAAAAGTGCTAGTTTACCTCAGTGGAGCTGAACTTCTGTTTGACTGAAAGATTTTTAGGCTTGTCATCTCTTTCTCTCTCTGTTAAAGGTTTAGATTCAAGAGAGACACATTCTGACACATCAGTGTGCTCCTAATATATTTTTTCCTCTGTAAATATTGAAGATTAATGTCGAAACTCTTGTATTTGCACAGTATTAGTGCAGTTCACACACACACACACACACACACACACATAGTACATAAAGACACTCTCTACCAGCTTATCCGAACTGGATTTTTCTCTCTTACACACACACACACACACACACACACACACACAGATATTAGACTTCATAGGTTGCCTTGTCAACCAGTCAGCTGATCACATGCTATCATTAGTACCAATATAACTAATGTAAAATGTCGTGTTCGCACTAGTGTGAATTTATGGTAAATTCACCACCGTTTCACCTGTAACATAGTTTTACATGACATGGAGGTGCCATTCCAGATTAGAGATGAAACTTTAATTGGATGGAATTTGCACAGATTTTGTTTTTGTTTTTTAGCAAATAGATGAGTTTGAGCAATGAAAGTTGACGTCACACACACACACACACACACACACACACGTGAAATGTGAGCTTTATCGGAGTCTCTTACTGAAAGATGTCCACACAAACACATGCGCACCTCGTAACTTGCCTTATAATTGAAATGACTTTTGGTTTGTGAGAGCGGAGCACATTCTGACTGTACAGCGTTGAGCTTTTCTATTCTCCCGAGCGGAAGCTCTAACTGAGAAGATCTTTCAGCTCTTAATCTCAATTGGCATCTGAATGGACAACCTTATTTAACTGCTTGAACCGTTTTTCTGATTACGTTTTGGCTAGAGTGTCCCAAGAAAGCTTACTGGACAAATTGAGATGAGAAAATAACTAGCAAACGGGCATTTTAGACTGTCGGAAGAGAGGTTTTCTTCTGGCTGCGGAGCTGATGTAATCTGTACATGTATGTTTTATCGATATCGAATACACCAGCTATAACTCGCTCACACAAACACACTCTCACCAACAGACTGATTCTCAGGAACTAACAGATGTATTCTTGTTATTATTTCAGCTCCTTTATGGAAGATATTATCCTCGATGTTCGCTCTTATAAAATTGCGGCGATTTGTGAAGTAGTGTGGATGATCTTGAAAACGTGTTCTTAAATTCGAGTTTTGCCGTTCATTTAACATACCCCCTCCCCCCCTCTTTGTATTGTGGGTTTTTGGCGCCTTCGCAGGTCGACCGAGTGGTCTTGACACTTTTGAGTCTCGTGCTGTGATGATGATGATTGCATACAATAGTATGTTTTGATCTCTACTGAATGAAACGTGTTGCTTTTGAACTTGTTTTCAATATGACAAAAACACGAACCAAAAAAACAAAACAAAAGGAAAGTGACATAAGGTGGATAAACTTTATAACGCTTTGGGTCTGTGGACTCAAACAAAATGTAAGTCTCAATGACAAAAGGTGTTTGTTCCTCTCAATAAAGCCAGACTCTATTTGGTTTACCGTTATCATGACTGTGGTTCCTATTGGTTGCTTGTTTAACTGTAGATAGTGAAATGGAATGAATACAGAGGAAGTATGATAGTAATATTGCTAAATACTGAAGTTTATTTAGTTAGAACTGAGGCCCCAAAGAGTATTTTTTTGTATTTCATTGCTTTAGATAGAAAATATCAAACCAAGTGGCATCTGTTAACAGAAAAAATGAAACTTTTCTGAGCCACTTTTTTATTATTTATGATCAGTTTGTGTATTTATGAATTTTCCCCAATTCCTTGATAAAATAAAATTGTTCCACAACCATTGTCTTAAGGGTTTTTATTCTTTAAATGTATATATTTATATTTATTTATGGTTTACTTTTTATCAAGTATTCTTTTTCTGCCATATTTCTCATTGATGAATGCCACTTGTTTTGAGATTTTATATATTATAAATATAAAAAAACTGTTCAAATGTTGGAGATTGAGAACATACAATTCTGGACGCTGTTTCTGAAAAGATGCCTCACCAAGGCTACATTTATTATACATTTACTGGTTTATTATTACTATTATTGTATTTTTAATGATTGCGATATAATTCTATACTAATTATTAGTCTCAGACAGAATCTGCTGACATTTTTTTGCTATTTCTGATGAGAATTTTGTAAAGAAAAATCTGGATTTATGCGGAATGATTTTAATAGTATCACAACTGAAAACTATTTGAAATAAAAAAAATTATGAATTTAGAATTTTTATTTAATGTTAACAATGCAAATTCAATTTGATCCACTTATTTGTTAAACAAAGCAAGTCTCATATATCTCTACTAAAAGACAACATATTACATATATAAACAAATCATATGAACATTTTAATATAATATCACAATAATATTAGTGAAATTAATTTAAAAAAAGAATAAATATAAATTGACACAAGTAAATACCTAGACTCAATGATGGCCTAGAAATCTGCTGATTCTTTTGCGCGCGCAGACTCTGTGTGGGCCTACTAATTATATAAAAAGTAAATATTGCTTATCGTATTTATTATTTTTTCTGTAAACAATTGTATTTTTCTTTTCATTGCTGAAAAGAAATTTCAAAAGAACATTTGAATTAGAAATATTTTCTCCATCAAGCCTCATCTATCACTTTTAATTGTCAGTGCATCCTTGCTGACAAAGAATTATTTTCTTTTACAAGACCCCAAACATTTGAACAGTATTAAGTGTCCAAATACATTTTGGGGCCACTGTGTGTAGCTAACTACACTACTT